AGAAGTTACATTTAAATATTACTTCTACCAACTATTAAGAGACACTCTTCCCGGCTTTTCCCACCAAACAAATATAACCATTTATTATAATTCCCAAAGCTCGCCTCTGACAGCCACAATCCGAATGCAAAATGTGTCTTGTGGCATTCGCCACGAATATGCGATAATAGCACTTAAAGCTCTTAAATGCATTCTGCAGATGAGACAACGTACAAATGGTGCTGAGAGATCCGAGGCCCTGGGATAATTCACACTTAACCCGCGGCCAAATCAAACTGCCAGGCATTTGACATTTATGCGGTGCATTTATGTTGCTGTTTTTTGTGGAAAAGCTGCAGCAGTCGCAGCAGCAGCACGCTAGGAAAATGCCACAGAGTTGCAGCTGAGCTGAGCTGAGTTAAGTTGAGCTGGAGATGATTTATGCACTCATTGTATCTGTAGTTGTGGCTGGAAAATTGCAGTTATCACGAACGAAACTCGGCTTTTGGCTTTGGCTTTGGCCTAAACTCCAGCTTTAGCTTCGGAGCTAGCTGGGTTTCCCAGGCCAGGGATTTTGTCACTGGCCCAGTCATTATTTATGATCCGAAGCCAAAGTCGAACGACGAGCGGTGCAATATGCAGCCAGGTGGAACCGTGACGCAGTCTGTAAAATTAAATAATTGCGTTTCATTAAATGCCGCTCGTTATTTGCATAGTCGATATGTAATGCAATGCCCCCGCCCCTTCAACAAAGCAAAGCAATTTGGCGTAAACGTCATCGGGTCGAGTGGGCGGGTGGAAATCTGAGTATCCCGCCCCACAATTTTCCACGCCACTTGAGCGTAATTAAGCGTTGAGCTCCTAAGCCCTGAGCAAATAGGAAACCCGTCGAGCGTCTCCGTCTCCGTCTCCGCCCTAAGCTCCCGTATGCTATATATACGTTGTACTCTAATGCGGAGCAGTTTGCGCATCGCATCGATGCTATTTGATACTGGCAAATATTTGCAATTGGCCAATATGTGACTCGGTCGCTATTGTCGCTATTAACGTGGCTATTTCTGGAGGCGAGTCAGGTGGGATAATCCCAGGTTCGGTGTACGCCTGGAGTTGTGAAATAGTTTGCGGCCAGTCAGAGAGTCAACAACTCGGCGGGGCAGATCTCTTGGCTCTTGGGGATCTGGTGGGATTCTGGGGGGATTTTGGGCATTTTCCATAAGGTTACCACGCGCGAGCAGCAAAAACAAACAGCCGGCATACAAAACAAGCTCCTCAAATTTCCCTAATGGCGCAGAGTTCATTTGCCTCCTGAAAGCGAAACGTTGGTAAATGATATGTGCATATGGCCAAAGGTCCAGGCACAAGACCAAGAAGAATGGCCAGAAGGAGTCAATAGTACACGGATGGGGGATGTCTGCCGCCAAAGATCAAGTGCTGCACGGAGAGAAATAGTAGAGTTTTATATGTGATATAATGATGAGTAAAAAGGTGTATAATAAGATATTAAAATAATACGAATTTAAAGTACTGATATTAGCAATATCATAAAACTATAAAGATCACAATTATATTTAAATTTAATACAATAAATTTATAAGCAAAAGCAAACTTACTTGGGATCTTTATTTAACCAAAAACATATATTTAATTTCTATACAAATTACTATATTTCCTCCAGTGAATTGCCTCTCTTTTCTCCTTTCCCCCAACCTCCTCTTTCGCCTTCCCCCTGATGTTTACACAGGCGGCACGACTCTCATACTGTAATTAGGTGTGCGGACGACGGATCCGCTTCCACTGCGACATATCAACAACATATTGTCAACTCTTCTGGCCCGGCTAATTGAAAACCTCTTCTCCGCATGTCCACTTGTCTACATAACAATAAAATGGGCGGTGGGCGTGGTCGGGGTCAGTGCATTGCCAATTTCAGTGGGGTTGGGCTTGTGGGGCGTTGCGGTTGTGTATTATAGTATTACTTACCGTTGCCTAGGCCAACGCTCAACGAGGAGACTTTCGTGGACATGTTGATGGAATAGGTGGTTTACTATGATGAGTTATAAAAGTAATCATATACATAGTTAAAACAAAGGGAAAACACAAGGCTAGATTGGTTCAGTTTTCGATGCTGATCAAATGACTTCTTCACAGTGTTCCTAGCTTCTGACTTAAATTATATCCAGCCAATAGGTATAAAAACTGAAAATTTTTATGAAAGATCCAAGTTTTTCGGATATCATAATTAAGCCCTTGTTTGCATTAATTTAATTCAGAAAGTTTTTCTGTGCTAGTCCTTATTGCACTAACAAATCTGCATACTGCGTTGTTGATGCTGTTGTCAGTTTCGACTAAATTATAAGACTCAGCAAAAAGGTATAAAAACAGAAAATTGGTCCAAAAATCATTTAAAACTCATAACTTCATGCTAGTTTTACTAGATTAACAAATCTGCATACTGCGTTTTCAAATTTAAAAAATTAAATTTTTGAGAAAAATAACGATGTAACCCCTTATTTTTTTTAATTTCGCAAAAAATTCGTAAATTATTTTTAACCGACATGGCTAGATTGAATCAGTTTTGGTGCTGATCAAGAATATATGGTTTACAGGGTCGGAAATGACTTCTTCACGGTGTTACAAGCTTCTGTCTTAGACTATACCCAGCAAAAAGTATAAAAACAGACAATTTTATAAAAAATACAAGATTTTCGGACATCATAATTAAGCCGAATTCGCATTAATTTAAATGCGGAAAGCTTTTCTGTGCTAAATAATTTTTGCTAATTTTTCAAATTTTATAACATTTTAAATTGTCAAAAATTGACATTTTATTTTTTAACATTTAAATGAAGTTTGCAGATTTATTACCCTTATAAAAACTAGCACAAAACAGCTTTCCAAATTTTAAATTCAAAATTGATTATGCCGATTTATTAATCTTATAAAACCAGCATAGGAAAGGTTCCGAAGTGAAATAGATGCGTTTTTGGCGTGGTTATAAGATTTTAAAAATAGATGTACCCAAAAAAATAATATAGGATTGATCGTTAATAAATATTGCAAATGCAAGGTACATGTAAAAACTACGGCTTCCAGAAGTTAGCTTTTTTTCTTGATAACGATAGAATCTGTAGGTTATATAGTAAGATATACTGACCCGTTCTTTAAAGAATTTTCATCTTCGTTGTTAATTAAAGCGACACCGACCATTCATCAGATTTGCATGCAACACTCATCCATTTCGAGATAAAAGCAAACTTGATCTTAATTGAGAGCCTAATTAAAACGCATCGAGTTACACGGGAGCCCAGGCCGGGCAATTAAATCGAACAGCTCGCCGGCTGGCTGATGCGTCGTCGCTGATTATATCGGAAATGCCAATCAGATGAAAGGGCCAACGGAGCAAATGCTCCCGAACTCCTCGTGCTGGCACTCGCTGCCCATTCGGATTCCCAATGTGTGTGCGTTCTTAGTCGATTAGCGCTGGCTGACTAGCGATGAGTCAACCACGCGGGATGTCGCCTTTCCGCTCCTCCCTGCATTGTCCGAATCCCTGTCACGCCGAAAATGTTCGAGATCAAAGTACAAGTGGGCCAATTAGCTTGCCAAGGAGCGCGATTGTTCACCGGGATCAACGAAACGAGACATGGAGACCGGGACTGATTAAAATCGTTAGTTATATTGGCAAACAATTTGTCTATGCGGCCTATACAATTACAATACAGATGTAGAGTGTATGGGGACCATGTACAGTGGTAACTAAGACTAAACAATGCAACTTAGGCTACGCAAAGGTGGCAACAATCTTTACACTTATCGACTAGGGTACGCGTAATGCACTAATCTGTAATCTGTACTCCGAATCTCGCTCCGAGGCGGAGCTTCTCAGTCGTTGCTTACGGTTAGTGTCATAAGCCGTACTTAAGGTATAACAAAGACTTAAAGTGATCTACTGTACACAAGGCGCTGTGCCGCCTTAACCATCACCAGTCATTCCTGGGCATCCGATACGTGGTGTTGTCGCTGCGCACAATGTGAATGCCGGCACCGTAGTAGGGTATAACATAGGCGGATCCATCCGCCGGCCCACAACCTGCAGGGCAATCAGCACAATGTCAATGAGCTGGCCCAGGAACATGCCGCCGAGGGTACAGAACTTGAGCAGACCGATGCCTGGGTAGCCGAGGTAGAAACGGTCCACGCCAAACATGCCCAGGAAAACGGACAGTAGCAACGTGGTGTCCAGGTGGTAGCCATTCCTAAACGAACAAAAGGATAGTAAGAAATTTGGGCTTTCAGGGTAACTCAGTAATACCCACGTCCACTTGCAGGGCACTTCGCGGTGAAGGTGGCGTTGCCCGTTTCCGTGCAGTTTATTTCGTCAGCGGCGATGCACCAAACGCGGGCGCGGCCCTCCTTCGTGCAACCTCTCAACTGCTGCGTTTTGGGATCGATGTGGTTCCGGGCGGGATCCGGGCACATAAACTGGCCCATCATCCGCAGCTCGTTGCAGTCGACATTCACCTCGTGTGTTCTGGCGGCGAAGGAGAGGATGAGGAGCAGCAGCGGGATCAGTGGAAATGCGGCACTGCAGCACATTGAAGGTGGATTTGGCCTCTTTTCTGGGTGGTTATGGTGCAGATTTGGCGGTGGCTGCACTGGCAGTTTGCAGGCTGAGCTTTGACACGGGGATTCTTCGTTTTTACGTTTCCGTTTCGATGTTTGTTTGTTATTTAGCAATTTAGCGATTTGTTGTTGTTTGGACTCATCATGCAGTGTGACCGTACTCGGAGCGGGTAGATGTACTAAATAGTTAAATCAGATATATGTACTAAAAAAATACTGCAAATTGTTCCACAGTAATTAGTGAGTTAATATAAATTAAGAGAGCAAATCTGATTCAATAACATTTTAAATTGATTAAAATTATAACCATTTGAAAATACCAAAACATCTGTTAAAGTTCCAATGTTATCCAGCAGTGGCTGTTAATTTAGTACAAATATCGATAGCTCATGTAATCGTTAATTTGGCGGAGTATTTAAATTTTTTTGCAAGAAAATGCAACCACAGGGAATTCCAAAAACAGGTTGTAGTAATTTGTCACTGAAAGAGCCCGCTTGTTTATTAAACACATACTTCTTACAGTTCAACAAACTTGCACATCTTTTACATTGGATATGGTTGCGGGTGAAAGTGAATCCTGAAAGGTAATAGCCACCTTTGAGGTCTGGCCAAAAGTTCGATCGATGCGACCCCTTTCTCCCGTGGAAAGCTCCACCGTCTTACCCACATAAAGTTCTCTTTTAGCCTCTTTCTTGAACAGATTCTGAACAATCACTTCGTTGGCATTCACCACTCGCTGAATGCTTCCCACCTTCTGTTTCCGCTTGAAGATTCTTAATTGAGGTAGCACTTCGTGGATATAATTCACACTCTGCGTCTGCCACGCAATGCGACCCCAGAAAGCCAATCTACAGCTGCTGCTGTGGACATCCATATCCAGTTTAGAAGCAATCAGTGTTGAATTAGGAGGGGACAACACAGGGCTCTCAAACTCCAGCAGGGCGAAGATTATATCGTTGCTTGAAGCCTCGGCTGGCTGCAGCTCCTCCACATACTCATACTCTTTATCCAGTCGAAATTCGGTTGATAGGTTATCCGTATTCCGAAACAATGTCACATTGGCCATGACCGTGTCATGCCCCAAAGAGACATGAAGTTTACTCTTCGATTTAATGGCATTTTTATAGTAACGGATGGGCCTGAGTTGCAGGCATACTGCATATATGGGTTTGAGGTAACCAGGCTGGGAAATTACTCCACGTTCCAGGAGCTTGGCATTGAACTGGGTGACGCACAGGCCAATGCGATCGCCCATAGAGGCACTGGACACATTCTGACGGAACATCTGGATCGATTTCACCTTGCGCTGTTCATTCAATGCCGGCAGCTCTACCATATCGTTGACTTGCACTTTTCCTTGGAGCAAGGTACCCGTGCAAACGGTTCCCTGGCCTTTAATGCCAAAACAATGATCCACGTACATCAGCAATGGAGCGGTGACATTCCTCTCCGGCTGATAGTAGGCCTGTATCAGTCCATCTTTTATCTCCTGCATATTGATTCTCTCTAGGGCCGACACGGCGTATATAGGTAACTCTCTACCAAAGCTTGTGGCTTCCAAAGTCTTACGTAGGCGCAGGCGTAGCTTCTCCAGCTTTGACTCCTCTGATCCACAGGGAAAGCATCGATCTTATTGATCACCACAATCAGCTTCTTGTCCATGAGCTCTCCAATGATTAAACACTCGGCCGTCTGCGTTTGGATGCCCTTTTGGGCGTCCACCACGAGCAACATAAGATCAATGATCTGTGCTCCTGAAAGTGTAAGATTAATTAACAACTCAAAAGATATATAAATCCAGTTATATACCTCCTATGATAGTGCGGATCAGACTCGCATGGCCAGGGCAATCAACGAACGTCAACTGCAGCTGATCTCCTTGTGGCCCGTCCACCACGAGTCCGCTAAAGCCCAAATCCAATGTTATTCCACGTTCCACCGACTGCGGATTCTTGTCAAATGCCGCTGTGCTCGATATGGAGCTCAAAGCCTTGGCCAACGTAGTCTTTCCACTGTCCACATGGCCGAGCAGGCCAATATTAAAGTTTTTAGACATATTTTTCGGTCAAAAGCATAGGGAAACGTAAGAAACATATGCGGCACGAAACCAAAACAAACCACAATTGAGATGACACAATATCGATAACTACCTTATCGATTAACGCATGTTAGTAAGCAGTGGAAAATTTTTCCAGGCTCAATAAAAATGTTATCTAGATTTAAACCTTCCTTGTTATTAAAACAAAAAGCTCAAGTCTTAGAGTGTTGTATAAAATTTGAACAAGAAAAGAGTTTTTATTGTAATCGATATTGCTTGGTTTATTTACCAGTTTGTATCGCCATTGACGCAATCTAAATTGATATAAATAAAAATAAATTTGTGGTGGTTAAAATCGAAAGTATTTTTAAACTTGGACCTGTTAATCAGACAATAAAAGTTGCCTATAAATATTTATGAATATAGAATGATAAACTACGCATTAGATTATTTATGGCTGTATGTTTAGTCAGGAGCTTTTAGTGATCAAACAGTCTTTACAATGAACACTACTTCGGTTGTCCCCATTTTCGTTAATCCTGATCTGCAGAAGAAACGAGATGGAGCGAGCTTTAGTACTGAGGAATTTGCCGCCTGGTGGGCGGGTGGAAAGGAGATCCTAAAATTTAACCGGGATGTCCGTAGGTCGATCATATCCCCTATCCATCTCCAGACTTTAGTTCTCTTTCCTTTTAGGTTCGTATTTAGAAAAGGATGTGGACTTAAATAAGGTAATGCAATTGGAAGCCAAATCCCACGAGGAGATTAACGAGTTTACAATGCGAGCTGCCATCAAAGCCGCCCAGAAGTTGCGGCGGCTGCAGCAGGAACGCAATCCCGGCGGAAATGAGTACTGGCCGTGGGTGTTATTTAACGAATACTCCACAAGTTTCTTAACTAATCCTTGGCATTACCTCTACACTTCTTAGAAATCTTTATGAACAGTCAGTAATGTGGTTTAATGTGCCAGGAGGAAATCCCTTCAGCGTAATGTACGTGATGCTAGTCAAGGCTCTGCAGGCCCAGTGCGATCCGGAGCAGTACGAGGAGTTTGGAAAGCGGGTGGAACGCTTCGAGATCTCCGCCACCTATGCCCAAACGGAGCTGGGACACGGATCTAATTTGCGAGGACTCGAAACACGGGCTGATTACGATCCGAATACAGATGAGTTTGTGCTGAATACGCCCAAGATTTCATCCTACAAGTGGTGGGCTGCAGGCTGTAAGTTTATATAGCAGAGAGATTGGCCTAATTATACCAATGAATCATCTTTTGCAGTGGGCCAATGCTGCAACTACTGCTTGGTGATGGCACAGCTGTATATAAATAGTCAGTGCAAGGGACCACACATGTTCTTTGTCCAGGTTCGCGATGAGGATACTTTTGAGCCGCTTCCAGGAGTCCACATCGGTGACATTGGCAAGAAAATGGGCTTTATTGGGACAAACCATGGTTTCCTGGGCTTGCAGAATGTGAGAATTCCGCGCAAGCGCATGCTGATGCGCTATGCCAAGGTAAATGCTGATGGATCCTATGTCAGAAGTCCGAATAATGTACTCAACTACTTCGCCATGGTTCGCACCCGGTGTTTGATTGTCCGAAATAATGCCGCATTTCTGTCGGCAGCAGCCACCATTGCCACTAGGTACTCCGCCGTGCGTCGCCAAAGTCCCATAAATCCCAAGTGAGTTGCATTTAAGGAAAGATAAATATTTAAAACCACCTCAATCTTCGGCCGTTCAGAGACCGCGAGCCACAGATCATGGACCATGTCACCCAGCAGATGAAGCTTTTTCCGGAGATCGCCACCAGCTTAGCTTATGGGATAAGCAGCTATTACGTATGGAATCTCTACGAGCAGACCATTAAGGATATAGAAAATGGGAAATACGAACGTCTGCCTGAGCTGCATTCCTTGTCCTGTGCTTTGAAGGTAACCAGTGCCATTGATTCAACCGCTGGAGTGGAAACTTTGCGCCTGGGATGTGGCGGACATGGTTACCTCTCATCGTCAAATATGAGCAACCTATACGCGCTGGCCACCGCATCCTGCATTTACGAGGGTGAGAACACTGTGCTCCTTCTGCAGATCGGTCGCTTCTTGATGAAGTCCTGGCGCTCGGCGTTGAGTGGAGCTCCTCTGGCGCCCACCGTTCAATATCTGGCCGAAGTGCAAAAGAATCCAGAGTTTGGCGCCTGGACGGGAAGCTGGGAGAACATGGTGAAGGCCATGAAGTACACAGCAGCCAAGTAAGTATAGAAATATGTTAAAAGAAATTATGTATTAACTTTTATAATATTGCAGCAAGACCCGCTTGGCTTTTAAGAGCCTTTCGGCCCGTCTGTCAAGGGGAGAGACTGAGGAGAATGCTGCCAATCACACGGGCATTGAATTCACGCAGGCAGCCGAGGTTAGTTTGCTAACATTCAATGGACTTTGAACTATTATTAATGACTAAAAATCTCTATTGTTTTTTGCCCCCTAGCTCCATGGTCGCGCATTCGTTTTCTCCTCTTTCACCGATGAGGTGACTGGTCCCAAGTCCAAGACCCGATCTGCATCTCTTAATCGGGTTCTGGAGAACCTTTTGGAACTGTACCTGGTCAAGGAGACACTTAATCAAATGAGCAACTTGCTGAGGGTAAGTTAGAGATGTTTTGGTTTTAATAGGGACATATTTTACTATTACATTTTTATAGTTCATTCAGTTGACGGATACGGATCTACGCGGCCTACAGGATCGTTTGGAAACAGTGTTGACCAAGCTGCGACCCGATGCTGTGGCCATTGTGGATGGTTTCGACTTTAGTGACCTGCAGTTGAACTCTACCCTGGGATCGTTCGACGGCAATGCGTACGAGCGAATGTTTGATGCTGCGCTCAAGACCCCAATGAACCTAAAATCGGTGCCAGCATCCTTTAATGAGCTTCTCAAGCCCTTCATGAAGTCAAACATATAAAGGAATGTGCAATGTGCGTGCAATAGTTTTATACCTTTTCTGTATTTGTGTTTTAAACCTGTTTTATTTTACCTTTTTAAATAAATTCTCTTAATAAATGATCTTAATATTTTGTTATCAGCATTGATTTCTCTTTCTTCGAGTTCCCACTTGAATCTTTTCTCTTCACTTGGTTGCTTTTATCAGCTTTCTCTCTCTTTAAAAAGCTGCTAAGTGCACTTTGCCCCCCAAAAGCTTTACCTTCTCGCCGTGGGTTCCACTTTCGCTTAGTGGTCGCGTCAAGCTCACAGCTGTTGGTTGGATCTTCCCTCTGGCACTTTTTCTTATTTTGTTATTATTTTATTAACAATTTTGGCACAAACATACACTATACAATGTCGCACATCAAGAACTTGATACCGGAGACTGTGAATCCAGATCTACAGAAGGAGCGCACCGGCGCCGAGTTCCAGGTGGAGGAGTTTGCAGCCTGGTGGCAGGGTGGTCAGGACAAGCTGAACACTAAACGCCAGATCGGTAAGTATCGTAGATAAGCATTAGCGTCAGATATGCCGGTCTACGTGATGAATGGTTCGGACCGGTTTTGGTCTTTGGAGCTTCTTTTTGATGAGCGGAGATTTGGAGTCCAAAGACTTCTTTCACGGGCCGCAAAGTCCACGAAAATAATTATACATTGTTGTGCAGAATTATTAGAGTTGGCTATACCTATACAATAAAAGATAATGACACTAGTAACGGCATTTACGATAACAAGCTATAGCAATGCGAATGGGACTCTTATCAGGTCTAAAGGGTTCATCCACACCCTCAGGTGATAACACCGTAGACAAGGAAACCTTTAGATAGATTGCTAGATTGCTACAAACACTTATAAATTGTTTTAATTTATTAACGATTTTATTCTTAAATAATTTGTATTACCATTTTAGTTAAAAACTTGCAAGTAGGTTAAAGAGTTATATATAACCTATATATTCTTGATCAGCATCAACACCCGAGTCGATTTAGACATGTTTCTGAAGAAGAAAATTGTAACAATTTTTTTTTTAATTTTGTAAGGTTATTTATTTATTATTTAAAACTGTAAACAATTGAAGAAAATTAATTTTTTTTTTTTAACTTAAACTTGCATGTAGATTTAACGCTTTCAGAATTAAAAATACTTAATTTTGGACATAGCTATGATCGATAAGAGTCCTGATCCTTTGGCCTTCCTAAATTAACTATATTTTCATGTTAAATATGTTTTCCAACAGAAAAGGCCATCTTCAGTGATCTGGAGGATGGTTATGGCATCAACCACGAGTACATGTCCCATGAGGAGGTCTACAACTCCAGTGTAAAGAAAGTGGCTGAGGCGGCAGTCAAGCTGAAGGCTCTTCAGAACCAACTTAATCCCGGGGGCAATGATATCTGGCCGTAAGAACCTATTTTCTCTAGCGTCTAGACCTTCCAATATATTATCTTTATTCTTTGCAGTGGATTTTTGTTCAATGTGCAGAGCCATGGACTTTTCCCGGCCAATCATCCGGTGTCCACGCACATCACCATGTTTGTGGATGTGATCAAGGGCCAGGGCACAGCCGAGCAAGTGGAGAAGTGGGGCAAAGCGGCAGAAAACTGCAATATTCTTGGAACCTATGCCCAGACCGAAATGGCCCATGGAACTAATGTTCGTGGCATCGCCACCCGGGCAGACTTTGACCCCAGACGGATGAGTTTGTGTTGAATACTCCCAATTTGGAGGCCTACAAATGGTGGCCCGGCGGCTGTGAGTGTTTTATACGAAGAATAATTTGACTACTAACTGAATTGATTCTAATTCTCTTGTTAGTGGGTCACACTGCCAATCATGCTATGGTTGTAGCCCAACTGTATATTGCCGATGTCCATCATGGTGTGCAGATGTTCATTGTGCCGTTGAGGGATCCGGAGACTCATATGCCCCTGCCTGGCATTGATATTGGCGAGATTGGAAAGAAACTGGGAATGGTATCGGTTAATCAGGGCTTTCTGGGCCTCAACAAAGTTCGCATTCCACGTACCAACATGCTGATGAAGTTCGCCAAGGTGGAGCGTGATGGCACCTTTAAGGCCAGTCCGGCCTCAAGGGTTAACTACTTGACCATGGTTTATACGCGTTGTCTCATTGTCAATCTGAACTCCACGTTGCTGCTGGAGGCAGCCACCATAGCCACCCGATACTCAGCCGTTAGGAGACAGAGTCCCATTGAGGCCAAGTGAGTTTTACTAGAGAACAACTTGTTCATGTTCCCGTTTTAAAAAACAAAACTTTATACATACAGTCAACCAGAGCCGCAGATCATTGATCATATCACTCAGCGCCTGAAGCTTTTCCCCGAGATTGCCACTGGAATGGCTTACCATTTGGCTGCGGAGTACATGTGGGAGATGTATGCCCAGACTGTGCAGGAGGCCAACAGTGGCAAGTTCGATCGCCTGCCCGATATGCACATTCTGTCCTGCGCCTTGAAGGTCCTTTGTACTACGGACGGTTGTGCAGGCATTGAGCGACTGCGTCTTTCCACTGGAGGTCATGGTTATCTTACAGCTGCCAACATGAGCAATATCTATGGAAACGCTGTGGCGGCTTATACGTACGAGGGAGAGAACACAGTGCTTCTTCTGCAAATCGGACGTGCTCTGGTCAAGGCCTGGGCTGCATTTGTGGAGAAGAAGCCCGTGTCGGCTTCTTATAGTTACTTTGCCAGCTCCATGAAGTTGAAGGAGTTCCCCAAGTGGGACAACTCGTGGCAGTGCATCATCAAGGCTCTGCAATACACGGCAGCACAGTGAGTTATGACGTTGATATTGATTGTTAAATCAGAAGCTAACTTACTTTTTATATAGAAAAACCCGCATTGCCTTCGAGAACCTAGCAGATCGCATGGCCAGTGGTCAGTCTCAGGGTGTGGCAGCCAACAATACAGGCATCGAGCTAACTCGTGCTGCGGAGGTAAACATACTTATAGAGATATTAAACACATTATTTACAATTATTTTTAACCTTATTTAACAGCTGCATGGCCGTCAGTTCGTCTGCCAGACATTCCTCGAGCAAATCACAGGTCCCAAGGCCCAGAAGCGTTCAGCATCACTCAACAAGGTTTTGGAGAATGTCCTGGAGCTCTTCCTGGTCCAGACTGTGCTCAACAACCTGAATGATATTTTAAGAGTAAGACAGGTTTTAAATACCCTTTACCCAGATATTAATTTATTATCTATAACTATAGTTCATCAACCTAAGTGATGCCGATCTGAGGTCGCTGCAGGAGCGTCTGGAAGTCTCGCTGGAGAAGTTCCGCCCCAATGCGGTGGCCATATGCGATGGCTTCGACTTCCATGACCGCGTCCTCAACTCCGTCCTGGGCAGCTACGATGGCAACGTGTATCCGCGACTATTTGATTCGGCTAAGCGCAGCACCATGAACCAGAAGCCTGTCCAAAAGTCCTTCGAGACCTACCTCAAGCCCCTGATGAAGGCTAATCTTTAACGCAAAAACCCAGCAGAAAGTCATGTGGAAATAAAGAGTAGATTGTTTTGTTTAAATTAGTTTTATATACCAGTTTTATTTAGCAAATCAAAACCAATTTCTCAGTACATTCAGCGCATTTTTAAAAAAACTAACAAACTAAACGCTTACAAAGTAGCAAAAAAACTTGATGTAAAATCTGACAAAACGTACTATGGGTCGAGAGTATAGGACACAAACATAGTACACTCTAGTACATTATCAAAAAGAAGGGTTAAGGTTGCGGTTGCGTTTTTTACAGTGTAGAAAAAGTTGTGTTTTGTGTGTTTTGGAAAAGTGTTTTAGTTCATGTTACTGCTGCATGTTTGCATCCTGTGTTCAGATTGTTTTGGTGTGAGTTTTTAGTTTGGTTTTCCGGAAGGGGGAGCTGGGAAAATTGTGAGTTCTTTTGTTTTGTGTGTCGCGATGATGTTCGAATTTCCCTTTGTTATGCGCTCTATGCTGTCAAAGTAGTTTGATTTCATTATTTATGCATTATACACAGTTACACACACAATTGATTTATGTCGCTAATTATATACTTAAATGTTATATATTAGTTTTCGTATTCGTTTCCATTTTTTTGTGGTTTTTCTTTTTCATCATTCTTTCGCAATGAAAATATGGCATGAGAGTTGGAGAGAATATATTGTAATATCGGTTGACTAACAATTAAACAAGTATTGCATCTAATTTGTTGGTTGTGGGTCCTGGCTGTTGAGTGTGTGTGTGTGTGTGAGGGTGTGAGTGGTGGTGTGTGGCTGTGATTATAACATTTGTTGCTGGACTGCTGGCTGGCGTTTTGTAATTTCTTTAATGGATTTTGCGGTAAACTTAACAATTAATTTTCACTATTGCATGTTGTTTGTTATGATTTGCGGCGTTCGTACTTCGCGTTTTGTATTTTGTATTTTGCTTGCAAAACTAAACAATTGTCAGTGAGACAGCGAACGTAAAAACTAAATAAATGCACAATAATCAATGCGTTAATCCGATTTTGATTCTTAGCCATGGAAGAAGCAGTTGAGTCAAGCGAATGAAGTCTCGAATAACTCGAAAACCCAATGGGAAACCCAAAAAATTAATGTACAACTGCATTCATAACGATTCCTCTTCATTATCATTTCCTGCTCGTAGTTTGATTTTACCAATTTTCAATAAATATTCATTGTGGTTTTGGTGTTTTTTTTTATGTTGTTGTAGAAAAAAGTAGAAATTGTTATCTTCATTTCAATTCGGTTTCTTTCTTTTTGTCGTATATATTTGCCAGGAAGGTTCCGAGTTCAGAGTTCAGAGTGTTTTGTAATCTGTTCTTGCTTGATTCAGTATTTTTCGCTTTTTTCTTTTCTTTTTTGTTTGTTTGTTTGTTTTAGGAATTACACTAATAATTACATAGTTTTTGCTTATGTATAACTTAAAAACATTTATGCATCGATTTTCGTTTGTTTCATGTGCCGCACAATTCATAATTATAATAATTATTCTCATTGGACTTGTTTTATTAGTTCATTAATGGTGACAAAACACGGCTGAGTTGAAATAAAGAGTGTGTTAAGTGTGTGTGTGTGTGGTGTGCGGTGTGTGTGTGGCTCGAAGAGGGGTCTATTATTATCGAGGGTTGAGAGATAATCGTGATGTATCCAATTCGCTTTCGTTTCGTTATTCAGCTAACATATATAATCCATACATTTATATTCAAATATGCACGAAAGTGGCCCTTTACATCTATGTAGTCGGATGCGCGTGTGTGTGTGTATTAATTATTATTATAGTTATTATTATTATTATTCAATTTTCTGCTCCTGCTCCTGCTCCGGCTCCGGCTCTTGCCTCTCCTCTCCTTCCGCGTTTGCTCTACATACTCGTAATTCATAATTAATTCGCTTAATTTTGCCCGCCCTTATATTGGTTTCACTATTTATATATAATATATTATTTATATATATATATTAAATTTCGCATGATTTACTTGCAATTTATATTTGATATTTCCGTTTTGTTTTTCTCGCTTAAAACTTACTTAATTAGAAAAGTCATACACACACACACACGCAGAGAGAGAGAGAGTCGCCTGTCCGTCAGTGTGTGTGTATTTTGCATTAACTTACAGGTAAGTTTTTAAATTTTTTTGTTTTCTTTTTTCTTTGTTATTATTTCGCTGATTTCTTGTGTTTTTTATGTTTTTCTTTTTGTTTACCCCTCACGAAAAATTGTGTGATTTGAAAATGTTTCGCAATTTTCAATTGTTTATGTTTTTTGTGTGTTAGTTTTGCTGCTCCTGCTGCTGCTGCTGCGGACAATTAAATATCCTTGTTTCAGTGGTTCTGCTGATGTTGTCGCACTGCCACTCCGCACAGTGTATTCAGTTGAGCCCAAACCAAACCGTCGCTCTTCTACCTCCACTCGCGTCTCTGCTGCTCCGCCCTCATCCAGTCGTCCTTTTGCCCTCGTCCTCCTTGCAGTTCGGTCCCGCTCCTGGCCGTGTGGCCAACTTAATACCTGCGCGCCGTGCCATTATCTCAGGCGTAAAACTCGCGATTGTTCGCGTTTTTCGCATATGAATTGTTGGCCGGCGAGCGCTTGGGTTCGTCCAGCGCATAGGATCCTTCGTCCTTTTTCCTCATGCGGTACACAATGAACATCACCACGAGTATGGCGCAGAGCAGGCCAACAACGGCACCGCCAATGACAGCTGTTTAGAGGGGAATAAAATATTATTTAAATGTTCTACAACTTAGGGTATATTATTGGATCTTAAGGGTGGATCTTAGTTAGAGGTAGAGATGTTTTCATAGATGTTTTCTATTTTCATAAAAAAAACAACGATGTTTATAAAAATATTCGCATTCTTTAAATCGATATTTTATATGACAATTTTTGGACTAATCAAAACTAATAAAATAATTAATTTCAATTCGGAAACCTTTTCTGTGTAAGTTATTATGAGATTTATAAATCTACATATTCAATTCAAAATTTAAAAGTTAAAAATTTTTTCAATGTCTAGATGGACTTGACGCTGATTAAGAATATATTACTAGTTTTCGACTGAAATTAAAATATCCTGCAAGGGTGTAAAAATAGTCTTCGATTTAAGAGACCTTCAGCTTTCATGACGTGTACTTAACGTGAAAACTCTTAAATAAGTATACGTCATGTGTAAGTTATAAATTTATAAAGATAAGTAGTTCCAGTACAAGATCAAGTTTAGCAATTAAATTATAATATCGAAACGGAAATCGATCGAAGTTTAAAAAACTTGTTGTTATATATATATTGTTGTTCTAATCAAAGTATAAAAACTGCCTAACTAAATCAAAAATGCATTACTTTCAATTCGGTGCTTATTTTTATAGGCAAATCTACATATTGGGTGTTAAATTTTAAAATTAAAATTTGTATCGACGTTTGACAATTTAAACGATGTCCCCCTTTTAAAATTTTAAGAAAATTGGTCAATTTTTATTTTCTGTCCGAGATGTCGGAATGATTTCTTCACACCGTTACAACTTCTGACTGAAATTATAATACCTAGCAAGGATATAAAAATAAAAAAATTAATTCACAAAAATATTTACGTTTTGTGTTTCATTTTATGTATTCAGTGTTGAAACACACTTTGTTTCTAAACATTTTAATCAAATCAAAGCATAGATGTTTCCTAATCCTTGTCCCTAAAAATCCCTCATACGCAGTGTTGCCCTTCAACTTAATTGAGATCTTTAAGTTATTGTTGTAAAAGTTTACTGATTATTTGGTATTTAATTATGTAGAATATATTTAATTAGGTTAAACTTAAAGAATCAACCGGTAACATTCATAAGAAAAATTATGTCTTGATTAAGATTTCTAATAAACTTGAGAAAAATCCTTGAGGATCCATAACGTAAACTTTTAAGGCATACAAATAAGTATAGTTTGATAACCTTTTATGTTTTAAATACTAATTTATATATTAAGCAATTATAAACCCAAAAGTTATGCTTATCTCACCAGATCCAACCTATAGATATATATATTCTAGGATAGGATATATATTCAAGGATACTTACCAGCCAGGATGCCCGGCTGCGAGAAAAAGCTCGACGTGCGATCGTCCTCGCTCATGATGACCACCTCGTTGCCGTTGATCCTGTGGTCGTTGTTCTTTGTGTCAGAGGGCTGGCTGTTCACGTTCGTAGTGGGGTCCAACCCGTGCACGTTGCTATCACCTCCGCCCGCTGCTTTCCCAGAGCGAGAGCGAGAGCGAGAGAGTGGAGAAATAAAAGAGAAAGACAAGACAACAGTGAGAATGAGATGGACGATGGACGGAAGTCCGGTTTTATTTATGCCCATGACGTGCAAGCAAAATCAAACAAAACACAGAGAGTGAGACAGAGAGAGAGAGAGAGATGTTGTTGTTGTTGTTTTCGTATTGTGTGTTTTGTGGGTATTCAATTAAATTGATTCGAGTGTCAATATTGGTTTTACTGAGTAGGTGGGTGTGTGAGTGTATATGGGTGAGTATGTGTGTGCGTGTGTTAATGAGCTGTTATGCAGTATTTACAAGGCTTAATGTTAGTCGAGTTGCTGTATATAAGCTACAAACGGGGGAGGGGGAGAATAACTTAAGCCTAAGGATAACTTAACCAAGTAGCTAGAGGTTAACCCAAGGAATTATTCGATGGATAGGTTAATGTCCTGCTAAAATACATATATTATTTAAACTATAACTTCAACTGCGTGTCCTAAAACTGACAGCTTATTTCACGCTAACAAGCTAGCATTTTCGAAAAACTTTTCTTCGAATTGGAACAAAGTTTCCAAGCTACAAATGGAAATTGTGACAAATTCACAAAAGAATTACGATTGCTTTGACTTAAGCTGTGGAAATGCTCCAGAATTGGCCTTTTTCCTCTTATTGCAATTATTTTTGTTCGCTGAATCTGACAGGCGAGTGGCAAGCAGCGGGAAAAAGCGCAAAATTTAATGCCAATTGCCTGTCAAACGGGTAGAGAGTTTAAGTTTTATTTAATTGAAAAGAGCCCCCTTCCCCCTGTATTTGGCTTTACTCCTGAACTCATACACACATATGTGTGTGCGGGTCCTTGTTCTTTGCTGAGCTTTTGTTTGACTCTCCCTTCATGTTCAACACTAAGCTGCAGGATCCCATTCCAGAGATCCCACACTCCCACGCACAGCTTAAGACAAACAAATTGCTTGTTTAGCCCTCGTCCTTCGCACACACACACACACTGGTACACGCATGGCTGTGTGCGTGTGCCTCGAGGGGCGGCATATTAATTAGGTAATGCCCACGAGAGCTCCTTGAATTGGCCCTCGCGTATAAACCCCTCGAAATTGATTTTATATGCGCTTTGCCAACTCGTGGAAAATCAAATCCTCCGTTTTCTATACAAATATTTACTTTTCAATGCTATTTCGATTCGGAAGAAGAGCAAATGGATTTCTTAGCTGGCTGCAAGATTTTAGATTGCTAAACTGGGACTGTCTTTGCCATCAGACTGATTGTCTTGTCCCTGTTCTGCTGGTATTTGCCACGAACCAATAAAGGTGATGCCTTCATGTGTCTGTCTGTTCTGGATTTGAAAGCAAAATGCACTTTGCTACCGGGTTTTGGGTTTTGGGTATTGGGGGAGGTATTTTGATCCTAGTACTACCCCTGGTAGCTATTTTGTGTGGTCAGCTGCGCACAATTATGACAGAATTATGGCCAGTGCTCCTCCAATGCTGACCATGTTGATGGTGCCTGTATGTGTTTGTGGCCATGGCAATGGCAAAGCAAACATCAAAGCCATAAAACCATAGAATGGAGACCAAACCTGCGACGGCCATTAGGCCATGTTTTTGGATTCTGACAGTGGCACTGTGGTTGGTTCGGTTTGGTCTATCAATAGTAGTGATGCTGAAGGATCTGTTTGCACACTGAAAATTAGTTTAGAAAAGCAGAGAATCTCTGAATGCGTAGCTTGTTTAATATATACGTCTATGATTTCCTTCATCTAAAATGTATCTTGAGACTATAGTTTCAAAGGTGTTTCAACTTAATTGTACCTTTATATATGTTATTCTCCTGATTTAGTCTCCTTGTTTATTCTCTGTTTTCTCAAGTGTTGTGTCCCACAATGTCAAGTAAGCGGCTACAGTTACGAGCAGGAGTTCGCCCACCCGAAAAGGGACAACATCGACGAGGAATGGGCTGCAGACATTGGAGCCTTGCCATTGCCAGGACTCGGTGATTTTTCATTTGAAGTGCCTGCGAAGCACGCCAAGTGTTTTTCTCCCCCCTAACACAAAGCAGAAAATCACAGCGCGGCTTAGTGCGATTTTCATTCGCTTCCTTTGAAAACTGCAGGAGGCGGAGCTCTGGTTGGGATCGCGGACAGTGTTAATGGAACTTTATGCCTAGGGCAAGAATTGCAGAATGTCCTGGACACCTCCCTCCCTATAGGCCCCTCTTTGATGGAGTGTTTTCCGTGCTGCAGCTTAATCGATTGTTTGGCTTTGTCTTTGTCTTGGGCCTGTCCCTTTGTTTGCCTGCCTGCCGTTTGTCACGATAAAAGCTTTTAAACAATATCCTTAAATTACTTGGCTTAGTCTAGCGCTAGCTTAAGGTTAACACTAAACACTAAAAACAATGAGTATGGAGTTGGGGGTCGAAGTGAAATTGTGTTCGCTCTGCGGGAGTTTTTCCCTATCGAATGAATGCCAAGAACAGAGGGAGCAAGGCAAATGATTTAATGAACTCGTATGAATGAATTGTGTGGGTGTGTGAGTGGTTTAAATAATGATAAAATTGTTATGTCCTTTGGGTCAGTGTGTAGCCAGGGACGGAGAACGGACAGAGACAGAAACAGAGACCGAGAGAGAGCGAGCTATAGGACACCCGCAGCGTTGACCGTAGTTTTCAGAGCGCGACAAATAAAGTAAATTATATATGTACACATACCAAAGGGAAAACTTAATTAGACCAACAAATATTTGTAATTTAAAGTACTTAAAGTGCATAGGGCCAACTACACAAAGAAAGCAAAGCAAATATACATGAAAATAAACCCAGACTACTTAAAAATATGCAATGCTAGTGCACAGAATAAAGCTTGGAAATATTAAGTATTTAATTGATTGACTTTACTTTTATTCTGTGCAACAAAAAAAAAAAAAAGAAACCATAAAACCATAGCAAAAAATTACAAGCTATAAAATTATATAAATACCACAAATTGAAGAGCTTCAAAAGCAATTTCTTTTTTGCAAAGCAAACAATAATGTAATCATGTGCAATAAGGACAACACAAAGATTTAAATAAATGTGATGGTAAGCAAAGGCAACAATAAAACACAAAACTACACAAACATATAAACTGAAAGGAGGAAGAAATCAAAGTGTAACAAGTAAGAAAGTATAAGTTTAAAAATAAAAACCACTGACGTCCGCGCTCTGTAAGGATATCTCCATCGTTGCCACCAGTACTGGTCCTGCCAGTACCACCGCCATTCACATTCTCATCCTCCTCGTTGCCGCCATCCACATCGATGGTGCCATCGTCATCATCATCATCATCATTGTCATTGTCATCATCATCTTCGTGAGCGTTACCGCTAAGCACTGGCGTTTTCGATATTGGGGGATCGATATCGATATCAACCTCCTTCTCGATATCCTCATCAATGGCATGATCGAAAATATCATCATCGTCGTCGTCATCATAATTTTTATCACCGCTACCAGCTGCCAAATCGAGATCCTTATCGAAAGCAGGGAATATCGCTTGATCCGTTGATGTGGCTGGAGTTGTGGTATTCGGCGCCTGCTGACTGGGGGAGGCGTTGGTGTTGTGGATGTTGTTGAACTGGCTGCGGTTGTTGTTGTTGTAGAGGATGTCGGCGGGGTTTTTGTGGTGGTTGTTGTCGTAGTTGTTGATGTTGTTGTTGCTGAGGTCGTGGATGAGGTTTGTGTTGGTAAATGAGCTGCTGGAGGATATAGAGATGCGTTTGTTGTTGGTGTTGTTGTGTATGAATTGGATGAATGGTCGCTATTAATACTACTATAAATACTAACTAAACTCGATCGGGTGGTGGTGACTGTAACTGATAATCTATCTAGACCTCTGGCTAAAGCTGGTTCTGTACTTGTATCTGTATCTGTTTTTGTTGTTGGGATTATAATTGTTGGAATTTGTGTATTGTTGAAGGTTGAAGTAGAAGTGGAAATAACACCAACGAGTGTCATTGTTGTTGTTGCATTTACATGACTAGCTTGATCTTTACCGATTGAATTAATGCCGGTGCTATGACCACCGTTCTCACTACCACTGATGATGCCGCTCTGGCCGTTGATGTTGATATTGTGGTTATTATTATTCGCTGTGGTGCTACTACCAATGATTGTGCCACTATTCGTTTGATGATTATTATTATTATTTTGATTGAGATTGATATTCTGGCTGTTGTCGATCTGATTGTGATTATTATTATTGTTGAATCTACTCGAGATGAGGTCGCTGTTGCTGTTCTTGCTGTTCTTGCCGAAGTTGTCGTTCGAGTTATGCTTACTGTTTATGCCGCCGCCAATGTTCTGCGAGATGCGCGTGTTGTGCGAAGTGTGCGAGTGCTGGTCGGGTTCGGCGTCCTCGTCATCGGGTCCAAAGCCGGAGCCAGAATAGTCTGGATCTTTCTCTAGATCCTCGTGTATCTGCAAAGAGATAAAGCAGGTTATAAACAGATTAGTAACATTAAAAAGGATACGTTTAAAGTAAGATTAAAAGTAACTACTTTCATAAAAAGTGGATTTCAGCAAATAAACAATTAGAAGTAATAATTTTCTCTAATTTGCCAAGCATTTTCTCCGTACTCCGCTCATTGCCAATAAAAGACATTTCTGCATAATAAAGCGCGCTTTTGTGCGCAACAAATGGCAGCTATTTTCCATTGAAAATTATGCAGAGTCCGTGTCCTTGAGTTGCTCTACATTCACATTTGAGGTGGTGCTGCGAGGGATCCGCCGCATTCACAGAAACATTCGACATCGACAGCGACCCTTGGGCCTTGTCCTCCACTTTATGTGGCCCATTGTCTGACTGAGTGAGGACTATGACGGGTTTTTGCGGTTTATTCGCACCAAAACGAGTACAGAAACCGCACACAGGGGAGAGAGAGAGAATGGGGGCGGCGGGAAAAGGGACACTATGCCACAACAACTGTGACCAGAACCAATTGGCCGGAGACCAGAGACCAGAGACAGCCGTGGGCCAACAGAATGACAGAGACAATTCCCGGCCGCAGACGGCAGCTCTTGTTTATTGACTTTAATTTCGTTCGCCGCTTGTTCGGGCCATAAAAACAGTGGCCAAAATAGAAGCCGGCACGAACTTAATTGAATTTCTTCACGCGTTATGAAATGCCCTATAAAGCCGTGCCCCGAAGACTTGGCATTCAGCCAGACGGGCCAGGACACTTGTTGACCCCCAACCCCTGGTCGTAACGCCCAGAAAACATATATTACATTATATAGACAAGGCCGACAACGAGCGTGAGTAATGGCAACGAGCTCAAATTGAGTGATTTGCCGCCTCGGCGGGGAAACAATTAACTTTTCAATGACAGGGAATTACACTTTGTGCTTTTGTTCGACTTTAAATTTAATTTCCCAGTGGATATTTTGAGCATTCGTTTCCATTTCCATGACTGTGGATTAACCACACAGGCGCCTCCACAGCATTTATAAATGAAAATTGAAAGCACACAAGCCGGGGGCTGCCTGCTTTTGTTCAACAAATACGAGAATTAAAAATAAAGCACAGGAAAAGTAAATGGATCAGGAGCAGACTGTAAGGATACCTCTTATATCCATAAAATTCTTTATATTTACCCCGAAAATCAATTGATTTTCTTTGGGTACGGTTTCCCGGTTTTTCATATAACTTATAAACGAATATAGCCAAGATCCTACCAAAGGACCCTCACGCAAACATTATTCCCGCAAATTTTGTATTTTGAAGCTGTGCTCCCTTTAGTATTTGCTTTCATTTCAATCGAATCGTATCGTATTCGTTTGAAATTTAATTAAAATATTTGCGTATTGCGTATACGCAGCGTTGCCGTCTCAAAACCTCACACACCGCAGCATATATCATCCTGTGCTGGACAGTTGGCAGGCAAACGCTTGACCAAAAGCACTCATAAATTTCCCTCCAGCGAGGCTCTGGGTGGGGTTTTTGTTGGTTGAACTCGACGGGGGTTGCATGGTGAGTGGGGGGTGGTGCTGCAAAAATAAAAAACAACACACAGAAGGAGTGTTTGTCCCGCCGCCTGCAACACTTTCGTTCTGGCCGAGTTTATTTAAAGCGCTCTCATGCTTTCCTCTTTCTCTTGCTCTGCCCGACTTGCTCGTCGTTTTGCCGCTTGATTTATGCAGCAATTAGCAGTCAGCGAAATGGGGCATGGCACTAAGTAGAAGTAGAAAGTGGCGAGTGGCAAGCTTTTCGCATGACTTGGCACAGGGAGAGCAGAGCAGAGTCCGCCGCATTTGTTGCATGCTTTTCGGCACAGTTTCAAGGCTCTTAACCCTGCCAGCTGCAGTACTGCAGTGTTGCACATAAGCCACGCACAGTTTCATTTTATTATTACTCCGGGAGAGTATTAAAGTTGTTAAAGGCAGGACTACATTCGTATAGTATGATTATGATAAGTATATTTTTAATGAAACTTCCATTTCACTTCATTTTTAAAAAGGGTTGTCTTAATTTTATAAATTTTCTTAAAGCACTTCCTCTAAGAATACCCATCGTCTTGTTCCAACAAAGTACTTAAAAACTATTCTAGTTACTAGGAATGAAAATGAACTGCATTTTCACAGCCTTGCATGTTTATGATTCTCACGACCACGGCCTCGTTTAAACGTTTACGAGCCAAAGTTTTCCTTTTTTTTGGTGCCCAAAGGGGACATGGACAGGGACAGCATCCGGGTAGCCCACAGGATCGATAGGAGGAGGAGGAGCAACAACTGCGGCAACTGTGGCCAACCGACCGAGTGCAATGTGAATTTATGCAATAAATTGCTTTGTTAATAAAACACGAGGCGGCTGCTAAGAAGTGGGTGGCAATGCAGCAGCCAGAAAGCCAGAAAGCAGATGTTACAGCGCCAAACTGAGGTGCAATGTGGGTCATGCATGAATTTAAATGATGTCATTTCAACGTGGCCACCTGCTGCCAGGATCCAAATGGGGGAAAATGGAATGGGATATGCTTTTCCCCACTGCATGCCGCATTAAATTTGCATTTACTGGCAGATGCTGCTCCTGCTCCTTCTGCAGCTTCTTTTGGCTGGCCAACATGGCGTATGCTTGACACCATTTTGATATATGACAGCGAAAATGAAATATTTTCTGCAAAAAATTTCCATAAAACGGAAATTGTTTCAATAAAGCGTTTAAGAAACTTCTTCCTGCACAAGTTCAAAAATGTAGCAGAGGGCGGGGCGCGGGAATTATATACTATCAAGTTTTCCCACAAAAAATGAGAAAATATAAGACAAAGGGAGCGACGAGCAACCTTCGCAAGATGCCATAATGAGCGAAAATTGTGTCAGTCAACTGGGAGAAAAGCAAGGGAAAATAAGAGCACCAGTTCCTTCTCATTTTCCTTACTTTTTTTTCCTTACAAGAAGAAAAGAAAGACTGGGAGTTGCAAATGGTTGCAAGGCACGTTTCATGCATAAACAACAAGGGCCGAGTGCAATGCATTTCTTTTCGACTTTTCACCAAACATTACAAGAACTTGCATGGCCATGGGGAAGAAAATACCGAAAGAATGGGAGGAATGGGAGAAAACTTCCTCCGCATCTTGGTAAGCATAATTAATGCCTGAAATTTCATTTCGAGTGTATTGTCATCATAAAACAGAATCAGCAGCAGCCCACATACACATGCAATCCTTGCTCCCTCAACAAATCCCGCCCAAATCCTGTACGGCTTTCGTTTTGTAAATAAATTTCGAAACTAAATACAAGAAGCTTTCAATTTGAGGAGCTGCTTTTTGGGCAAAAAGTTGCTCCAACTCGCCTAGGACTTGGACTAGGACTTGGTATCTCGGGGAAAAAGTTTTGCTAACGAGTAAATTGTCGATTTGACAATGTTCGCAAAGTGCGTGACTCGAGTTGACCGAGTTGCTGGCCAAACATTTTGGAAAAATCCCAGCCCAGGCCAAGTTCTATTTTCTATGTTTTTTTTTGGGGGGGGGAGGTTTTCACTTTGCCCGAGTTTTGTACACTAACATTTTCCGTTGACCCTGTTTCTCTACCACTCTCCCCCGTTCCCTCTCCTTTGGGTAACACAAAATTTCGCATTGTGAATGCTACATTTTCCGTATCCAAGTGGCCTGCTAAACATTTGCATGGCTATTTCTGCAGGAAATGGCCAAAGTTTGTCTGTCTAAAGGGAAAGCAGAGGAGAGCCAACGAGGAGGTGAAACCGCAATCCTGGGAAAATTGATGGCCCCAGCCGTTCCGATGTGTTCTCGGCATTGTTTTTCTACCATTGGCATTGCTCAATAATTGCTCCAAGGAATCCCTTTCTGGGGAGAATCCTAATTTATTTACATGCACTTGCAACTTTGGCCCCAGCGGGGAATGTAAGGAGAAAATGTAAAGCCGACTCTCCGAAGAGCGAGAGAAAAGAGATCTAAACTCGGGGAAAACTCAATTTTCCAGCTGGTAGATAACTTACGGCTTTATTTATACAACGAAATTGAAAATTCGTCTCGTTACGCTTTTGTTTTTCTCCTCAACTTTTCCCTCACTTCCTTTGGCAACAACTTTTCGTAAATATGTAGAGATGGACAAGTTTACAGTCAGCCAAGGATATCATTTTCTATCCTCCCCGTCTACACTTATAATTTTCCAATTGCCCATTTACATTTAGATGGGGGCACAAAGCACATAATCCCATAGACATTAGGGAAAGGGTTTTCCAGGAAATAGAGAAACACGCTTACAGAGACAGAGTATAATCAAAAACAAGTTACCTTTTGATATTAAATTGTATAAATTAGCAATTAATGAAGATTGCATATTAATTAAGCGGCTTTAATGCTTTAACAAACAGTTTAAACCTTTTAAAATTAAAGCTAGATGAGTATTAATATAAAAAAACTATTTACAATTAAATAGTGAATTTCTAATTCCCTTCTTTATGTTTTTTGTACGCACAAAATACTCTACTATTATTTGCAGTGCATTTTCATTTCTTATTAAGCTTTTATTGCAAATAATTGCTTTTTAAATGCAACAAATGAGCAACAGCAAAATAATCCCCATCTCGCCCTTTTTTCCTCTACAGCAAATTGAAAAAGTTTTTGGCCAAATAGCGCCATGTTTTTTGCCTTTGAATGCCTCTCAAGAGTTTTCACAACTTTCACTCACACACACACAACCACACACAAAGGAAAAATTGTGTCGTGGCCTTGTGCAGTGCTGCTAACAACAATTCTGGTGATTCTTATTGTTGTTTAGCCTTTTCACTTGCCACTTCCCCTTGGATCTCAAGTCCCTTGTATCTGCAAAACTCTTCAACAACAAGGGACGAGAGCAACCCTTTGTTGCACAGCCACTGTTGCACTGTCTTTTGTGCAATGCCACGCCTAAAAAGAAAGGATAAAGGGCAGATGAAGGCGTAAGCTGGCATAATTTGGCACTTA